ACACACACACACACACACACAAATTGGACCTCTTCCACCTTGTGCCCAGTCAAACAGCATTGCTGACAGTGAAAACAGCACAAGGAATGCCAATGAGTGAAACCAACAAGTACAGCCTACTGTGTATGCACCTGTGTGCGATTACGACATGCAGAATGCAGGGTGTGTACACAATTCCAAGTTTTTCATTTCTCAATGAAATGCTCCTTTCTGCTGCACAATGACACACACAGGAAAGAATCTAATGGATGCTCTTAAAGTTCCCCACCACACATGAAATACAGTTGCAGCAATAGAACAATCTGTTTTTTTTTTAATGAGAACTTGCCATTTTTAGAAGCGGCAACATATTTCGGGAACAGTCCGAGGCACTTCAAATACAAAAACAGGTAAGGAGTGCTCAGCTACTTTCAGAATTTATGTGCACACAGGCAGCTAAGGTGTGTGCAAGACAGCACAAAGAAATAAAGCAAAGGTGACTTCACGGTTCTTACATTGTCTGCTTAATAAGTGCATTACTTAACACACAATCACTCAGTCAGCCACTAAATCACTGATAGGCATTTTAATTAGATTGGTCAGGGAGACACACAATGTCCGTCTCTTGCAATCTCCTCTTTCGCTCACTCTCTCTCTCAGCACACAAACACACTGTCTCATCCAAACTCACTCTGCATGCAAAGACGTGTACAGACACACAACAGTGTAGGACAGTGAGGAATGTTCCCGATTCCTCGTCACATGTCGAGTGACACATTTGCCAGAATGCCAGCGGAACATCGTCAGTGATTTTTAAAACAGGTTACAGAGACGTAGGAAGACTCTGAGAGCTGTTTGTTCATGTAAGGGGGGGGCAGGACATCCCGCCATATGACCACACACTGGCATGACATACTTGTGTCATGGGACAGGAAGTGTGTTCTTTCCAAAGCAAACATGTGAGGACATACAGGTACCTCACAAACCAAGGGCATAACTGTTTCACAGCAGAAATTTGACAAGGAGGAAGAACTCTGTATAATTAAAGGTAACTATGATGATTATGAGGAAGTAACCTGAGTGAACACTTCAACATTAAAAAACAAAGACAGCAACTATTACTTTTGTCTGTACCTGAACTGACCCACATCCACAGAGCAAAGCTGATTGTACGTGACACAGCTCGACTTTAAAACACATCTTATCTGTAAAGGGGAATGGTAACAGGTGAGGTTGCGACAATCTCTCCGTCTGATATCACTGTGTGACATTTGCAAAACAGGACGGCAAAGCTGCTGGGGAGAAAAATGACCCAATTTCAAAATCAAACAGAAAAGTTAAAAGATATAGGAAGGGATACTGACTTAGACTGAATTATATACACAGACACACCTTGTTGAGGGAATAACAGCTAAAATAATGCTGATTTAGCAGCAACTTACTGCTGAGGGGACCCCAGTTGAACCAATAAAGACTTACAAGTGCATCACTGCCTTAAAGGTGGTGGCGCACTGAACAGAAGACTCATGGGGTGACGAGAAGGGTCACGATGATGGCTGTAAAACACACAACCACTTACTCCACAGTGCCCGTCTTAATAGGCATGCACATGAGCATCATTAAATTAAGTCCACTGTATACAACTACTAACCACTACATACTGGCCATTCTCTGCCGATACAGAAGAGCTTAAACCCACAACCTTGACTCAGAATCAGAAATCAGTCTTTTAACTTCGACAGATATTGTGGTTTTATCTATATGGAGAGATATGAATATTTTTATCTTGATATCATTTCTGGCCATATCGCCCAGCCCCAGGTATTTCCCTACGGGATTAATAAAGTATTTCTGATTCTGATTATAAAGGATCAAGACATGTGACCACTTACACCAGTGCCCACATGTGCTGGCAGCATGTACATGAGGATCATTATATTAAATCTACATATTGTTTAATCAGCAGTGGAATGGACTGTTTAATTTTGGGTGTGAAACTACCAACCAGTAATATATTGTAATATACATGTTCCTCATCTGAAATAAGTGCATGCCTACCTATGAATGGATGTTTGACTAATATATATATATATATATATATATATATATATAAATGTCCTGCATTATAATAAAGTAGTAAAAAAACATTCACTAAACAAACATGAGGACTTGATTAAAGTCTGCTATTCATGCAGCTGCCTCACCTACAAGGCATGTACATTTACTTTTGAGTCAAACAGTTTAATTCTGTGTGAAACTACAGGCATCCGCTAAATGTTGGTGATGTACTACATAAGTTTCTTTTCTAATTTAGTTTACAGGTGTTAGGATTATTACATTGGAGGACTATTGACTAAGAAAACCATCCTGCAGGATCACAAGAGGGAAAACTTATCATTAAACAAACATGACGACTAGATTTAATTCTATTTATTTATACAGCTGTCAACGCCTCGCCTACAAGGCATGTACATTTACTTCTGAGTCAAACTGACAGTTTAATTCTGCGGCACCCACCATATGTCTGTAATGCATTAGGAATATTACGTTGTGCCAGCCAGTGAGGATCACTGACAAATAAAAAAAACCAATCCTGTCAGATCATAAGAAGGAAAACTGATCAGTGACTCAACAATCATGAGGACTAGGTTACAGTCTACTGGTACTAATGCAGCTGCAGGCACGGAGCTGATGTGGGTTGTGGAGCTCGCTGCACACGCGATGCACACAAAAATGATTCAGCTGAATGCAGAGCGTGTGACGTAATTTGAGACGATGAGTGAGTATCGAGTCGTGACGTTGCAGTAATGGTGTGGAGAGACACTGCTCCAGGTCCAGGTCCTGCAGGAGGAGGAGGAGGAGGAGGAGGAGGACTCAGGACAACTCCTCTGTGCTCACACACTTCCTGACAACAACCAAGGTGCAAAAACAAACCCCAGCGTTATGAACCCCCTGCTGGCAGATCAGGGTTAGTTTGAGCTGGGTGCCACAGGAATGTCAGGATTTCCTGGGTGAGTTCAGGTGTGTCAGCGGCGGACAGGAGACCTGGAGCCGGGGTGGAACTTGCTGTTTGCCCCCTTAACTAATGTCCCAACCCGGGCTGTTAAGCTAGCTCCCAGCCCTCCCTCCCTCCTCGGTCGCCCCGGCTGTCAAAACAAACCCACCTCTTCACACAGGGATCACAACAAATAGGTTCAGGCCACAAACTCACACATTTACAACTCCGAGCTCGCTCCCGTCTCCGGACAGGAAGCGAGCTAGCAGCGTTAGCTTGTTTCGAAGCTAACTAGAATGCAAGTTTTCTGAGGAGGGGGAAACTTACGATGCATTTCCTGCCGAGGTGGTTGAAGAGGGACTCGTTTTGCTGCGGCGACAGAAGTATGGAGCCGACGTTCCCTTGCCGCCGCTGTGGCGGGTGTCCACTCATGGTGGGTGAGTTTCCAAAGAAAGCAGCGACTCTAACTGGTTCTAAAAGATCCGATATGACACTTAAACAATCCCCCGGGTGATCCGTGGCCTTCCTGCGACCCCCCCACCCCCTCTCCTCCGTCTCCTCGCACCGGCTCGGTTTGTCCCTCGTGTGCCGGAGAAAGTGTGCGTGCTTCGGGTAGAGCCGGGAGACGTCGAGCTCAGCAGCGACCGGAGAGGAGACGCGAGATGTTTAAACTTTCCTGGGAAGTCGTGTCGCTGCGGAGCCGGAGTCAGCTCCGTCAAAGATGGCAGCGCCGGTGTCGCGCAGAGAAAAGGATCCTCTGCCAGAAACTGGCCAACGTCCACAGGAGCGCGCGCGCAGGCTGTTCAAGTAGCCCCGCCCCTTTCATGTGCTGTTTATATTATTTATAGTTTTGTTATTTAATGTTTCCTCAATAGAAGGATCCCGAAACACGATGATCTGTTACACACTGCGTCCATTTGACCGTCGTCAGGAGGGACTGCCACTAAGTCAGTAGTTGCTGGGAAGGACTAATAGAAGGAGGTTAACCTGGTAACCCACTGGACTCCTTCACGTTTATTTAATCAGGCAGTGACTTTGAGATCAAGATCTCTTTTCCAAGTGAGGCCCAAGATCAAGAAACATTCACAACCAGCAACACACTATTAAACACTATGAGGCCAGTGCCTCATCCAAGAACTTTGGTTGAAGAAGAAGTAGAAGTAGATCCAGTAGATGGAGGAAATGCACTGTGATGATCATATATTATTCATTCTTGTTGCCACCCCCTACCCCGGGATCACATGTCAGATTCATTTTTGGAACAGGGAGATGAAATAGGGTCTTTCTCCGTCCACTACTTGCATTGACCTGGTTTTGCAGTACCTCCAGGAACGGTGCTCCAACACAGTAGGGGGCAATAATGCACCTTGATGTTGGTTTGCCACCTGACAATAAACTGAGCAAAGAAGAAGAGATTCTTCTGATGGCCTGTTAAGTGATGGATTTATTGTCTCTTCTGAGTATGTGGCCTATCCAACACTTCCATCTCCTGATTTGTAGCTCAACTGGATCTGGGATAGTGTGGCCCCACGGGTTGGCAACAGAGACAACAGTTGATGAATGTTGGTAGTTTATGGATTTGATATTAAAGTTGAGGATTTTCAGTTTGGTTTTAAGTTGTAGGTGTTTTTTGCTTTCCATATTTTGTTTAAGATATTGAATGCTGTTCTCGCTTTTCATTTTCTGGATTTGACTCCCCCATTCCCCCCTTCATCTACAGAACTTATGCTGTCATGGTATAGAAAGCTTTCAGTCTCCTCTATTTGGTTATGGTCCATGATTATTGGTGATTTGTTTTTGTTATTAACCCACATCACTTTAGTTTCCTGTGTGTTGATCATTAGTCCAGCAGTTCTTTTTAGTAAAAATCTAGATCCTCAAGCTGTTCAGTCAATCTACAAAATATTCATGAAATACATATGAAAATCAGAGACAATACTGTAATATTGCCTATTGTGATCATTCGGTTTATTGTTTGACCATAGTAGGTTATGATTTGGTGCTGAATTAAATACCCATTATTTTAGTTCATGGGTTTTGTAAATCACTTTGATAAGTGCTATACAAATCAAAGTATTCATTATTATAACAGTCACGTTATTATGGTTTGATCAGATAGAAGCAGCTGTAGATGAATAGAAACGGGGCGATACAACTTTAACAGCCTGCGTGCGCGCTCCCGCGGACGGCGATCAGTTTCTGGCAGACGATCGTTTTTGAGCACAACACCTGGACGAAACCACTGTCCGGGAATGGGGGTCCGCGCTTTCCCCGATGGTGTACCACATCAATACTAAGAGGAAAACTCAGCACTGAAAACGACAAGAAGCCTCCACACAAGTAAGTGCAACATTAAAATGCATTTCCTTGAAGACTGAGGTGGTCGAATTCAGCTTTGTTAAATCACCCAATTCTCCAGACATGCTCTGAGGAGATGGTTTGGTCCAGTCCGCCCGTGGCTTTTATGACAGGAATGTGAGCGAGAGCAGAAACAAGGTGCAAGTTGCCAAGATCCTGTCTGATGCTGCTTGTGAGAAGAATTATTCTGGTGTACCCTCATGCAAAATGTAAAATTACACTTGTATTAGTATTTAAACAGGAATAGATGCTCATCAATAATTGCAACACTACTTTATTTTTATCTCAGAGCTGGGTGATGTGGCCAATAATGTAATTAAATAATCAGATAATGATAACGCGAGTCAATATCACCATAAATCCTCCAGTAATTATTTATTTCACTTTTAAAGACTTGATTTTCCCTCCTGAGTGAAGGTTGTGTTTCTAAACTCTTTATGAGCAGAGAATAATACATTTTATGAATCTGAGGTTGCAAAATGAAACCAATTATGTATAATATATCCTCGCTGTGCTTGCACAATGCATAGACGATATGCTGATACGCTGTATATTGAACTTCTTTATCATATTGCTATCGATGAAAATTACATTGAGATAGTTATTGTTTTATTGCTGGGACATGGAATGATTTGAAACGCTTTGTTTCATTGAACTAAACTATAAATAGTGTATGAATAAAGTGTAGTGAAAATTAAGACCGCTCCAGTTACTAAATATAGCCTCAGGGGGAGGTTGCCAGATCTGACATATGTCTGCCACATATGTGTCTCCAGAATCAGTCAACTGAGACTAAAAATAAAACACATATTGTTCTTGATTTATGAAGTTAATAGTTTGCTCTTCTTGATGAATAAAGCTGAGCAGTTATCAGACAGGCCAGTTTGGAGGCCTTACAAAAGGGTGGAAAACATGGAACTGTCCATATTTTAATAATGTGCCGAAGGGCGTTTGTAACAATCTGAAGCATGCTCAGTCAGGCTCGTAAATGGGTGTCGTTTCCAGGATGGGAGACTCTGAGGTCATACAAAGAAAACACTTTCCCTAGTGATCAATAGACATTTCTATTGTTCACATATGTGGGTCTTTTATTCACGTTTTACTTTTTGAAATTAATCTTTTGTCCGGAATCAGAAACAGAACAGGGCTGTACCTATATTTATACTGTACATGTAGGTAGTGTGTTGTGATCAAAATCACAAATACTTGCTCAGTGCACATGATGTACAAGTAATAGTAAGAGTGAGAGTAAATTACACGTACCTCCTCCAGGAAGTTAATTTTTATATTATTTTGAAAAGAACTCTGATTTGCACAATGATTCATGAGGATTTGAGTTGATTTAAGCTCCTCTATAATCTTCATGACCCAAATTACAGCCCCTACTTATCTCTGGTATATTCACAGTTGGTTCAGTGTTAAAACAAACTCTAGACGTACATGTAGATCTCATGTTCTTATGTTACCTCTGTCTAATCATTGTAGGCTACACATTTAAATCATTGTAGATGCTGTTATCTGCCAAATAATGTAAACACAGTGTGACACACTGGTGTGAAATGTCACCTCGTGCTAAATTATTCTGCCTCAGATTTCATTAAATGTGCAGCCGAGCCGTCTGTCACTGTGTTACAGCGAAGAGATTTTTTGAAAATCATTTCTCCTGCCAGTCTTCCTCCTTTATTACTCCACACTTTGCTTTTGATTGTCTCAAAACCCTCTGTGTTGATTCACCATGGTCCTGATTGTGATTATTTGTAAAGACCTGTTTTCTTTTGCATGCACATGAACATAAGTGTGTGCGATCATGTATTTTTTATTGAGTAAGTGTGAGTGTGTGTTTACTGCGTGTGTGCTAGAGTTTGTCACAACCCCAGAGCATTTTTCCTCTCTTGCTGGGTCAGTACGGGGTGAAAGAAAGTTCCTGTGGCACTTAGATGACATCTATAAATGATACGAATACGGCACATTTACCATTCATAGCAAGTCTGTTAGTATTTAGTAGATGAATATGAGTATTTTACCCTTGTTTACAATTAAACCTTTTTTTGCATGTTTACCTTATTATATTAGTGAGCGCATAAGAAACAATCATTTTAGAATTAAAAACCCAGATACATTACTTTTTTAAACAGCTGATCGTGAGGTGCTAATGTTTGATTATAGGGCAGCTTACACAGATTGAAACAGGCCACACACACATGCCTGTACATTCTCTTCTACTCAAGTCTGATGCCTTTTCAGCAGGGTCTGGTTGGACTTGACAAACCCGACCGACCGGCAGAGAAACAACTTGAGAGGCTTTGCACCGCGCCTTTGGTTTAGGGAGATGTAGAAATGACTCATCCTGAATAAAGGGCACGAAATTAATATATACAAAGGGGATGAGAAAAATGGCATTTTGGAGCAGTGAGTGAGAGAAAAGGGAGGAAAGAGGATAAAGCTGAGCTCTTATTCCTGGAACTTTACTTTATGTTTCCAGAGAATGTGACGGCTTGAACAAATGAAATGACTTTGATTATCATCGAGAAGAACCGCAGAAAAACAATCTTCCTTACTTCATGGTGAACAAAAGCAAACACAGAGTATAGTTGTTGATTTGTTGTTTTATCTATCTATCTATCTATCTATCTATCTATCTATCTATCTATCTATCTATCAAAATATAAGTAATTATGTGGGCGAGGAGGGAAACTCTGAGTCCATCCACGTAATGAAAATGGAGTGACACTGACAGTTAATACTGGTTGGTATGCACTTAATCACACGATGACAATTAGTGAGCTGGACGGAGGACACACACGGCTGCTTGTGTTAGATACCTCACTGACATTTCTGAATAGCATGGGGGAGGTGTGATCATGAGCAGGGAATTCATTTCAACACACACGTACTAGTATTTATGTGTGATTGTGCACATAGGCTAAGATAGTTGAGGGAGGTGTTTACGGTGTGTTTGGTTTGCGGGGTTATTCATACCAGTGCAGTCAAACCTCCTTGTGAAAAGGTTCGCTTGACCCACTTTCCACAACAATAGAGAATTGAGGTTATGAGGGAAGCAGGGAAGAGGGCGACATGAATATTATATTTTGGTTTCTGGAGGATGATATCCCCTGCAGGCCCTCGGTATGAATATTTAATAAAGTTGGCCTTTCCGCGTCTCTTCGCCATGTTCAACAGTGTGGATTTAGAGAAATGTCACGACAGGGTCATGCAAACAGAAAATTGTTTAAACAGGCGAGTGTTGTGGTGTGCCAAAGGTGGCATTTTACTTCTGGTTGAGGGTTAGGAGATTACACAGGTTTGCATACATGCTCTGCATAAAGAATTATGATAAGAGTTAGTGGCTGCAACACTGACAGGGCTTTTTAACGGTTCTTTACCCACAAACCTCAGCTTCAGATTCTTATAAATGCAAAATTTTAAGGTGAATACATGCAACATTTATTTTTTTCCCCTAAAATCTTATTCAATATTAGATTAAATCCTGGATGCTTTTACTGATTAAAGCTTCCAAAATTGGTTGAAGTGAAAAGTAATGTGCCAAAAAGTTTGTGGAAGCCCAATATTCAAGATGATTTGATTTCGTAGTGGCGGCAGAGTCCAAGTTGATGTCTTCATATTTCTTGTTTTGTCTTGTGCATGGGCAGCTCAGGCTCAGGAGGTAGAGGGTTGGTAGTTCGATCCCCAGCACCTCCACTCTGCATTCTTTCCTTCAAAGCTGTGCTGACGGTGTGTGACAGAAAAAGTAGAAGCACTGTATGAACGTGTGTGTGAATGTGACTTGTAGTGAAAAGCAGTTTTTGGTAATTCTTATTTAACTGTATTACCACAAAGGCACGGTTAAACCACAAGATGGCAGCTTAACACCAGATATACCACTGCTGCAGGAGCCAGCGCTCAGCTCACTGGTTAATGTTTTCAACAAGAGAACCAGAACACAATACCCACTCCAACCTGTGGTGCACGATGCTGCCTGCACGTCATCACACAACAAGCTGATTGATAACAATGTCTAACAGTCTTAGTGGAGGTTGACACAGTCTCAGAGTTTGGTGGTTGAGGCTTCATGCAGCTTCGCAGGAATGATTTAATCTTATGTTTTTATTTTGTCTGAGTGAAAAGTGAGATTATCTGCAAAGGATGACAGATATACAGAGGAGAGGATGGAATATATTTTATCTTACGTTGCACCAGTACATTTTTGTTTTGTGTCAACATGTTTTCTTGGTCAACCAAACACAACAACATTCTGCTTTCACTCTCACTGCACAACCAGAGCGCCTGTTCTTGTTCTATGCAACGCTGGTGAGCAGGTACGAGGTACAAGAACAGAATTCATGTGGCTGCAGAGGGCGCTGTTGCTCAGTTATAAAGTGTAGCTTTAAGTGGGTGTTTAAAAGTGTTGAGCTGGAGTTAACCAAAAAATCCTACTAATCTAATCCAATGTAATTTAATCTAATCTAATCCAATCCAATCTAATCTTATCTAACCTAATCTGGGATATAATGGAGTATGGAGCAGCACAGGCTTTTATTCTAGTGCCGTTGTACATCGGAAAATCATATAAAGGAAAGTAGAAAAATATATATCATCATAAACCCATGTTGATCCTAACTGTAGTAGACTTGATTATTTATGTTTATAATTCTGCAAGAGAAAGTGACACTGAACAGGTTCGTTCCACAGACATTATGTAAAGATGGGCGACATGACAGCTCCCCACAGGTGAACCCAAAGCGTCTTGATCGCCCTCTGGAGGCTGCTTGCAGTATAGGACATAAATCCCCACCTTCTCCATGTTAGTAGATGGAACATGAGCCAAACTAAAGAGTTAAAGGATTTTAACAGAAGTGCTCACAGGCACACACACTTCATTCCATACAATCACGTAGCAGGGTCACAGGTCACTGTTCACACTGTGCCACTAACATGAGAAACAACCACCACCATTTGGTATCACATGACACAGACACATAAACATGCACACACAGTACATGCAGTCTGAAAACAAGTTTTCTATGTTCTCTATATATATACTGTATATCCCAGACAATGTACTTTTATTTACTAACATAGAGGAGAAACGTGCTGGTGTTTGCTCGATTGTTTTTGTCTGTAAACTGTGTCTGATGAAATTACGCCCACACGGAAACATAAAGTGCTGTTATTAATACCATCTAACTCATGTTTTACCACCCAGGTGTCAGACTCGCCTGTCTCCTAACTGCAGGGAGGAGTGTGTAAGGAATTTTGGCTGCAGTTTAGCATATGATGCATTTATTTTTAACCCTGTCACTAAACAGAGTGTTGTTTAAAGACCTGGTTTATAGAACATTTCCATTTGTTTGAATTATTTAGCAGTAAAATAATCACATTTCTCACATATATTACATTTATAAATATCATTTTGTATCAAAACAGTTCGAACCCTCGGTGTCGAACCCACAACCTGCACAGTCAAAATAACATTGAATGAATGAATAAAAGTCCAAAGAGGATGACATCAATGTAGCTTTATCATATCATTTCACTGAGCAATTTAAAACTGCAGTTGCCTGTGTTGTTATTTTTTAAAACCCTTGCCGAGGTAACAAGCACCAGCATCAACACCAGAGCATCCGCAGTCTGAGCTTCAGACCCAGCTCAGTGGGCCACAGTGCGCGCTCCCTAACCTCACACCCAGGTGTGCCTCCCTCCTCTGCTCCAAGTCAAACTTGGCACATGGAAAATACAACAAGATGTTTTTCTGACACAAACAAGTGGGGAACATCCTCGTACACAGCTCAGCCCACCGTGTCTCTCCTCCCTTGTTATATCACACAGTGTCACTCCAGCGAGGACAAGGTCAAGACGTCTTATGGTGACACGGCTCCTCTGAAGGCATGTCCAGGTATTGTGTTTTTATTTACATTGCTACGTCCGTTTAATGTTGACGCGTTGTGTTTTGTGATTGCAAATGCACGATTAGATTTTGGTGGCGTCATTTTGTTCTGATTAAAATCAGAAGAACGAGAACAGACTTGTTGTGGGACTGTAGATGAAAAAGTTTCAGGTTATAAATCAGGAAATCGTGCAACTTCTCCTCGTGGCAGAGCTCCCAATTGATGCTGTGAGAAATGAAACTACAGCCTCAGTAAAATTCCTTATATGATGGTTTGTTAAACTGTATATTTTGATTTAAATATTGATATAACAACAGTCTCCTTCTGAAACAACATTTATATCTGTCCTCCGCTCATAAAGATCCTATATGAAAACTTTCATGTACTTTTTGCCTCATCCTGCTTAAAAACAAACAAACAGATTTAAACAGAACCTCCTTCAATCAGCCGAGGTAATAAAATAGTTTAAAATGAGTAGAAATCAAACTGTCACTGTAGGATTTGGGGGCATTTGTTGCTTCTATGGCTCTTTAGTTGGGTTAGGGTTACATTCAAACATCTTGAGTAGCTTGTTTTGATATTCTGATGCGTTTAGTTTAACAGTCTCTACTGTTTGTCATCAGGCAGGTGAAAGGATGGCTTCCGTCGCACAGAAGAGCAGAAGCTGTGTGCTGCTTCTTCTCTCGCTCACACATTCTCTTGTGTTAGCCGACCTGAGCACGACAAAGGCCACGACCCCTCCTGTCAGTGGCACGAACAAATGGACCTCCACCACCCACGTTTCTACAGCTATTACCAATTCGTCAATCAAAAGCTCAACCGCCACCTCGCAGGCCTCAGACTTCACCTCCCTTACTGCCGTTACCACATCGTCTCCATCAAAAATCTCTATTTCAACAAATGTGACTCTGCATGCTGCTCCACCTCAGAGTTCCGTCTCGCCAACGTCACCGTTTTCCTCCTCTAACTCAGTTTTGCCTCCAAACCTTTCCTCATCTTCTACTTCTTCAAACAAGCCACTCTCCCCCGTTTCAACTTCATCTTCTCCCGTGACATTCTCGTCTCTCATTTCGAAAACGCCTCCGCCACCTCTTACCGAACTTCCACCCACTCCTCTCCTCAAACCGTCGCCATTTCTCCCGAACAAATCCAACCCTCATCAACACAAGCTACCTCCGCTTCGATCCCTCCCTCACACCACAGGTCCGCTGTTCGAGCACCAACCTTTCATTGTGAGCTGGAACATCCCTGATCTGGTGTGTAACAGATACAACATCTCACTGGACACCTCAGCGTTTAAAGGAGTGGCCACGCCTGCAAAGGTGAGGGGACGAATACTCTGATCTTTCCTGTCGGAAATTTCAAACTTTAGAAGTTATATTATATATTTTCTTTGTCTTTAATCTTGGAATTTTAAGTTTATTAATGTTAACGTCCATCTCGGCCTCTTTATCCTGAACTTGTGCAGCTCTTCTTCTTTTTAAAATCATCCTGTTCTACTAATCTCAGTTGATTCACTGTGTCCCCCCCCCCCTATCGTAGGTTCCAGGTCAGTTCCTGTCTCTGTTCTACACAGACCGGCTGGGTTTTTACCCACATGTAGACCTTGTTGGTAGAAAAGAGTTGCATGGAGGTATTCCTCAGAGGGGGAACCTGACAGCCAGTATGAACAAGGCCAGAGCAGATATTACCTACTACATCCCATCCAAGTGAGTCTCACAAATCCACCCTTCTAGTATCTGACCATGTTTGACACTGATCCCTAACCTCCTCATCCTCCTGTCTTTCTTCCAGGACCAGCCGGGGCTTGGCTGTTATAGACTGGGAGGAATGGCGCCCCCTGTGGGACAGAAACTGGGGCACTAAGAGAATCTACCAGCTTTTATCTGTGGTCTATTCAATACAGACAAACCGCTCGCTCACAGTGAAGCAGGCCACAGAAAAAGCCAAACAACAGTTCCAGGTCTGAATTAACTACGAGGACTGATTAAAACCAGATATCATGGTTGATGAATATTCATGAGCAGCTTTTCCTTTGTAGGCGGCAGCCAGAGGTTTGATGTCAGGGATGTTGAAGACGGGCAGAGCCATGAGACCCAACTACCTCTGGGGCTTCTACCTGTTTCCTAACTGTTATAACTACGGATGGTTGGAGCCTGGCTACACAGGCCGGTGCTCCAAGGAGGTGAAGAGGCAGAATGATAAGCTCCTGTGGCTGTGGGAGTCCAGCACGGCCCTCTACCCATCTATCTACCTGCAGGTTGGTTTCACAAAAAGGGCCGTCCTGAATTTCTCTTCCAGATTTCAGACTTCTAAGGTTGATTTTTGTGTTTCTGCTCTCAGGCCTCATTGGCAGATAACCCCAGAGCTGCCCTGATGGTGAGAAACCGTGTCCAGGAAGCCCTGCGAGTGTCCACCCTGCCGAGGCGGAGAGGTGGCACTGCGCCCGTGTTTGTTTACACGCGCCCCGTCTTTGTTGATCAGAACAAACGCTTCCTCAGTCAGGTAAATAAGAGCCATGGAAATGTTGTTTAATACAGACCTCATTCATGAGATATACATGTAAAGGGCACAAAGCATGAGTCCTATATACTAATCTTACTTAAATAAATAAATCAATGAATAATTATATCCAGCATCCAAACAGATTTCATCTTTCGAAACACCAGATT